TCTCCCCATATAGAACTTCTTACCAGCCTCACCCAGCTCTGAGCCCAGGCTGTGTCCTTCTTACTTCATAAAAGTCCCTTCTCATCCCCTGAGCTGCAGTTCCAACACTGGCTTCTCTTAGGGAAGCCTCTCAACTTCTTCAGATAGCAAGCTCCCTGTTCTAAGCAGCAACTCAAGAGTCTTGTTCCAGCCTTCATGCTGAAGACTTGGTCTCCTCCAACTGCATATAAGCACCGAAAGAGCAGGGCCCTGGCTGGCCTGTGTAGTAACCAATCAAGTGATAGATGCTCACTGAAGAAATCAGCTGCTTAGTAAGATGACCACATAGTTCACCTCAAATGCCCCCTCTTGCCACCACCATTCCCTGCCCCAAAGTGACCTGTCCCAGCCATACCTCAGAGGAGAACATGGTGGCACAGGTCCCAATGCACCAGCAGACGACAGGCTTGGTGATTCGGCCCTCCTTGATGCCCCGGCAAATCTTGTATTCCTCAGTGCCTCCTATCTGCCAAGGAATGGGGAATAAGAGAAAGCCCTCAAGTTAGTGCAGCCCATACAGAGATACAGCCTGAAAGAAAGGGAGGGGGCAGGAGCTCTGGACAAACAGAAAACAATGTTAGCTTCAGACCAAAACTTGCTTTCTGGACAATTCATACTAGAAGCAAGAAGGAATTCTAAAGGGACATGCTAGGTATCCCTTATCCTAATCTACAGTATAAAGTAATTTAGAATCTGAACTGCTCAGAGGTATGAGCAAGGGATGACGTTATGGGACTCTCCCAAATTTATAAAAATGTATTTTTAAGCCAGGTGGGTGGCTCACACCTGTAATCCTAGCACTCTGGGAGGCTGAGGCAGATGGATTGCCTGAGCTCACAGGTTGGAAACCAGCCTGAGCCAGAGTGAGACCCTTCATCTAAAAATAGCCAGGCTTTGTGGTGGGCACCTGTAGTCCCAGCTATTTGGGAGGCTGAGGCAAGAGAATCGCTTGAGCTCAAGAGTTTGAGGTGGCTGTGAACTATGATACCTATGGCACTCTACCAAGGGCGACAAAGTGAGACTGTCTCAAAAAAACAAAACAAAACAAAATATATTTTTACTCCAGCTTTCCATAGCCCACTAGGTAGAGATCATGGCCAGCCAGAGCAGAGCTTCTCCCTTCCTGGTGCTAACGTCTTAGGCCACTGAGAGGTAAGAACTCTTTCTTCCAGGAACACACACAGCAGTGCTAACAATGACAACCTCTAGGTCTAAGAGGTGGTCTTACCAAGGATTGTCACTTTTACATTTTATAATGAAAATGCATGAATTTTTAAAAACTGAAATCATGTTACTTTTACATTATGTGTTAGTTTTACATTCATAG